TATATATATATATATATATATATATATATATATATATATATTTATATATATATATATATATATATATATATATATATATATATATATATATATATATATATATATATATATATATATATATATATATATATATATATATATATATATATATATATAGATAGAAAAAGAGAGAATATATATATATATATATATATATATATATATATATATATATATATATATATATATATATATATATATATATATATATATATATATATATATATATATATATATATATATATATATATATATATATATATATATATATATATATATATATATATATATATATATATATATATATATATATATATTATTTATGCAGGAATTTGTAGATTTATATGTAAATTTGTTTATTTATTGTTTTATTTTTGCAGGAATATGTGAATTTATTAATTTATTTGCATATTTTTTATTTATTGCTTTATTTATGCAGAAATTTGTGTATTTCTTTATTGTTTTATTTGCTGGAATTTATGTATTTCTTTATTTATTCATTGATTTGCATATTTATTTATTTATTGTTTTATTTATACAGGAGTTTTGTAAATTTATTTACACATTTATTTATTTATTTATTTATTTATTGTTTTATTTATGCAAGAATTTGTGTATTTATTTATTTATTTGCATATTTATTTATTTATTGTTTTATTTATGCAGGAATTTGTGTATTTATTTATTCATTGATTTGCATATTTATTTATTTATTGTCTTATTTATACAGGAATTTGTAGATTTATATACACATTTATTTATTTATTGTTTTATTTATGTAAACATTTGTGTATTTATTTATTTATTTATTTGCTTATTTATTTATTTATTGTCTTATTTATGCAGGAATTTGTGTATTTATTCATTTATTTGCGTATTTTATTTATTTATTTATTTATTTATTTATTTATTTATTTATTTATTTATTTATAGCAACAATGCCAAGTGGTAAGAAAAGGGGGTGTATAAAACTCGGTCCTGGAGGGCCGGTGTGGCGCTGAGTTTAGCTCCAACTTTCTTCACCGCTCAGCCAGTAAGTTTAGTATATCTAGCAGGAGCTTGATTAGCTGTTCAGGTGTGTTTAATTAGGATTGAAGCTAAACTCTCCAGGACACCGGTCATCCACTACCGAGTTTGGACACCACAGCATGGCTGCACACGGAAGTAAGGAGATGCACAAATTAGTATTATCTGTCATTATTACGAATTTTTACCACAAACACGCACATGCTTCAATACATTTATAACCGCGTTCATGTTTTACCGTCATGCTTTAAAAACAATCGCTAAAATAAAAACCGCTAGCTTTTGCTAACAATAATCCATAACAAACTCATGTGCACCCCTTTACAGTCTGTTAGGGGAAGGGGTTCGGGTACAAAAATAGAATTGGGATTGTGCCTAAACCGAAGGGAAAATGAACGAATGAATGAAAGATATATATTTTTGGTTTTAATCACGTGTTCTCCCCGTGTTCGCGTGGGTTTCCTCCGGGTGCTCCAGCAGTTTACCCCACAGTCCAAACACATGCGGTACAGGTGAATTGGGTAGGCTAAATTGTCCATAGTTTATGAGTCTATATGCAAGAGTATATGGATGTTTCCCAGAAATAAGTTAAAGCTGGAAGGCCATCCGCAGCGTAAAACATGTGCTGGATAAATTGGCGGTTCATTCTGCTGTGGCGACCCCAGATTAATAAAGGGACTAAGCCGAAAAGAAAATGAATGAATGAATGTTTTTAACCCTGTAAGACCTGACATATAAAAAAAAAATAGACAGAAAATTCTAATGTCTGGAACTGAGATGTTTATTAAACCATCTTGCATAATAATAATAATAATAATAATAATAATAATAATAATGATAATAATAATAATAATAATAATAAATAAAATATTTGCCATATAATTTTTTTTTCATTTATTTTGCATCACATTTGATAAACCAGGCGTTTGTGCAACTTTTTGCTCAAAACAATGATAATTTTAATTACAAAAAAGTTTGCCCTTAACATTTTGACAAAAGAGAACATTTCAGGCAGTTTATGTCTTCATTTATTTTTTACATTAAGCATTTTACAGTGTTTTATTTCTCTTTGTGGTACAGTAGGCGTAATAGTAGTTTCAGTTCTTGTTCAGGCAAAGATGCACTTTACCTTTACACAGTACACAGAAGTGGCAAGGCATTGCTGGTGCAGTGTTTTCACTCTGTCAGGTTTCTCCATGTTGGAAAATAATCAGGGTCATGCCTTTAAACATTAAAAGGCGCACCGCAGCATGACCTTTTATAGGGTGCATGTTCATGTACATGCCTAGGACTTTCTCAATCTCTATGGCATCTGTGTTTATAGACATGCCATCTTTGAATATACTGTACAGGTTTATTTGTTCTCCAGTGTCCTGTAGCATTTCATCAGAGGCCAACTATTTTAATATTGTACATATACAGAGTCCATAATAATAGATGGCAATTACAGTGCCATATAGCAGTTAAGGGAAGATGATGAGGAGGGATGGAGTCCTTGGGCTATGTATGATGATGATGATGATGATCATTCAGACAGCTGTGATGAGGAAGATTATCAAGAAAAAAAAGTTTAGTCCGGAAAAGAAGATGAGGTCCCAACAATACAAACACAGGACACAGTCAGAAAGCAGTCGGTCTGAGTCCTCTGTGCCTTCCTCAGCAGATGCAATGAACTCAACAAATGTACCATGATATTGTATTTCCATCTTTTCTTTTTGCATCGCCATTTGCTGACTGCTTTCTGACTGTGTTTGTGCAGTTGGGACCTTCTGTGCTTGTCTGGACTACACTTTCTTCATGATAATCTTCCTCATCACTGCTGTCTGAATGACCATCATCATGCATGGCCCGAGGAGTACATCCCTCCTCCTCATCCTCCCCTAACTACTCTCTCTCACTTCAATTGTCATATAGACTATTATGCTGATGACATTACCAAGACACTTTAATTTTTCTATCATTTTCCTCTATTGTTTTGACATCTAAAAATACACACAAATTGATTAATGTAGTTTATAGATTATGAATTGTTGTAAAAATATCCACAATGTATTTTAAAATGGTGTTTCAATTACCAATTATAATAATTTAATAATTCATTTATTTTATTTGTAAATGCCGAATTTCTAGACACCCAAGGTCGCCTTACAGTACGCATCAACAGACATGCTAAAACAAATTAAACATTACTAAAAACAATCATTGACCAAACAAGTTAAAACACAATAGCGAATATAAAAGAACATAATAAAAACATGATAAATAGATTGTTAAAGAAAAGCCTGCTTAAAAAGAGGGGAAAACTGTGCTGTTATCAATGTCTATAGTGAAATTATCAGTCCAAAAACAGTGTTAGTGTTGCATTATATTGACTACATTACAAAAAAGTGACATGTTTATTCGGAAATAAAGCTCATTATATACCTGTTGTATCAAATGTGATGCATGCATTTAAAAACAATTTATTTGCAACAAAATAAATTAATTATGCATCGTTTCAATCGAGAAAAACTTTAATAAAGTTAGTAACCCTATACATTTTATCTTTACTATAACAACTTGAAATTAAATAGCTTTTAGCCAAAAAGCATCTGAGTAATTCAAAAAGGCCTTCCATGGCCTGCAGTGTCAAGAACATCCACAAGGGGGAGAATACAAGCAACACATCATTGCAACAGGTTTTTAATCAAAATATTGATCAGGTTGATATTATACAGGTCTTAGAAACTCGTGTATTAAATATGATACATGCGGCTCAAACATCAAACTTTTTTCCATTTTCTCCAAGGTTTTTGATGGTGATTTTAAAAAGTACATCATTGAAATGTTATCACTCTAAATAAATGTTTTTTTAAATAATAAAAAAATAAATAAAAACTCAACGTACACGTCACTGATTTAAAAGAGAGATCAGAGTGGGTTGTTTGCTGTACAGGGCTAACCAGTTTCTCTGTTCTTAGAAAGACAGTGAAATCCTCCCACACAATCAGTTCTGGGTTTGACAGGCATGCAGGCATCACTCGATTACAGTCAGGAGACTTTAATTTAGACAAAAAATGTAAGTAAACTGTAAATTGTTCTTTTTTATTTCTGTGTGTCGATTACAGATGCTTTGTTCATCATTTGTTCAAGTTAGTTTTGATTCAGTGATGATGTTTGTGGTTAAAACTTGTTGTATAACCTTTATTTGATCAGAATCAGAATGAGCTTTGCTTGTCAAGTGTGAACAAACACATGGAATTTTTTTGTGGATTAGAAATCAATGATAAATTTATAAATGCACACACACACACACATATATATATATATATATATATATATATATATATATATATATATATTAGATGTGTATATATTATACACTCTCAGAAAAAGTAGTGCAATGTTGTATCAAAGAAGGTTTCAAACCTTTGTCACTGAGGCAGTACATTTTTATGGAACAGAATTGTATCATAAGGCAAAGAAACACATTTGTACCATTGCAGTTTGTACTTTTTAGGGACATGATTTGTACCATGGGAAACCAAAATGTACCGTTGGTCTTTAAAACCTGCACATACCATATCGTACCTTCATTAAATGTAGAAATCTGATACACGAAGGTACCACTACACACTTTGTACCTTAACAGTGTCAAATGTGTTCTCTCACAAACTATTAAAAGGCATTTTTCTGTATTCAGAATGGGTCAGTTTATTTGCAGTTAATGTAAAACATCAAATATTTTAAACAATTTTTAAAAAAAGTTTATTTTTGTGTAAATGCACTTTTTCTATTTACAATAAAGAAAAAAATACTTCAACATCAATCAAAAGATCTATTTTTTTATTAAACATTTCACAACACTTTTTACAAAAATGTTTCAGAAACACATTCTCCCATCTACAATACTAAACTTTTTTTTTTTTCTAATTTCCTCACAGTATCATTATTAAGTTCATTTAATTTGCTTTATTTTAAAATAGAAATGTAATTATGCACAAGTATTGAGATATGCACAATGTTTGATTAGTTTTACAATAGTGAAATGTCTGTATGAACACTTTGCATATACAGCACTGTTGTCAGCTAGTGGAAAGCCAACGCCACGGATATTAATAATGAAAACATATAGATATCAATAATGAAAATGTATTTATTACAAAATAATTATTAAAAATGCCTTAAATGTTTACAATGACTATAGTTTTGTTTTATTGAACTTAATAATTAATGAATTTCTTTAAACATATGCTTTTAAATGATGATTCATGTTTTAATATGTATATTATTCATAAAATCACTTTACCTTTCCAGTCATATTTATTTTCATAAATATTATAATAAAGTTGTCCAACACTTATGTACCTTTTATATGAGAACAATTCGTCACCTTAGATTATAATAATAAGGTTCTATCTGCGTTCTGAATGACTGTGAGATATTGAGCTTCAAAGTTTTTGTATTCCATATAGCAAACGGTATGTGTGTTGCATTTGTTGTTTTAAATAAAAAGTCCTAATGTAAACAACTTGTATAAAAACATCCCATAATGTAAATAAGTTGTCATTTAATGAAAATCTGTCAATAACTTAATTTTGACAAAAATATCAGATAGAACCTTGTAATTCTAAGGTGACGATTTGTGTACTGTCATTTTTACCATAAAGGGTACAGAATAGTATCATAAGAGGTCTTTTCTGAACTATATAAGGTTCAACTTTTACAAAGGTACAACACTGTTCCTCAAGGAACATTATTTGTACCACCCTGTACCTTTTTTCTGATAGTGTATATACATCTAAATCAATCCTGTGCGATTTATTTTCATGTAAATCTATTTCAAGCATTCAGGTTTTTCATCTTACGTTGTAAAGTTCTACCATTAATAAGTTTATGAATGTTTATGGTTTAACACACCTTAAAGACTTGCTTTAGAAATGTCAAATGCTCATTAAAAGTACTCTGGTCATGTTTTTACACCTTAAGAAGATGTGAACATTTAATTGTATTTAAAGAGCTCCTATTATGCATAATAATAGGTCATATTTTGGTTTTGGGGATCTCCAACAATATTAATATGCATGCATTCATTGTCTTATAATTTGCATTTATTTTTACCGAATTACTAGGGCCAGATTGAATCTGCTAAATTTTTTTGGTAATTCTGTGCAGAATTTTGGTAAAAATCTGCAGATTTATGACGAATGATTTTAAGAGTATCATAACTAAAATCTTAATATATGAAATAAAAGTAATACCCTTTTTAACTTGTATTTAATGTTTATAATGCAAATTCAATTAGATCCACTTAATTGGTAAACAAAGCAAGTCTCTCAAATAATATATCTACTGAAAGACAGAAAATATTACTTTACAAACTATATTGCAAATAAATCATGTAAATATTTTTATATTAGTAAATAATTATTCTGACATTAATTTAAAAACTGAATAAATATAAATGTACACACATTTACACAAGCAAATAAACAGAATCAATGATGAGCTAAAAGTCTGCGCAATTCTGCGCGCGCAGATTCTGTGTGGGCCTACCAATTACCACTACGACTTCCATATGGTTTGTTTAGCGATTCATTTGTTCCCAAACCCCTCATTAGCTCGATGCTAATCTATGGTGATTGGTCGATGACTCAGTCTATTGCGATTGTTCTACTGCGTTTAGACAGAGAGAAATGCCCACCATGGCTTATCAACAAATTTGAAGTAGTCAGAGTGCAGAGTGTATGTGTGAGCCCAATGCAGGAGTGCATTAAAGCAATGCAGTTTTACATCAGCATATTGCTTCATTCTTAACCATGAGTAATTCAGTTCATTATTAATACACACTGTAGCAAAAGCTGAACTATCTCCTTGCTCTATTAAACAGCACTTGGGAAATATGTGAAATATAATTTTCACAGGAGGGCTAGTAATGCATTTTAGGAAATCATTTAATTAATCTAGATTTAAAAACTATAGGCGCAGTAAGAGAACTACTCTTGTTTTCTTTACTCCTTTAAAAATGGCTTTCATTAATCATTTCTCTCCATTGTAGTTTATCACTTTCTGACGAGGAATCTCCTAAAGTCCCCCAAGCAGCCTTCAAAACCATGTTCTGTAGGAATCACATAAAGACAATCTTCATGGTTCTGCTGAGCACCACCATCTGTACCCTAACCATCAATAATGTTCCTTACGAAGACATTATGAAGAACGTGATGAACAGCAGCATAGTAGAGCATTTCTTTCATGAAGAGGCCTGTGCGTGTATGGAGCGATGTTTGGCTGCCAGTGAAGACAAGTGGTTCACCGAGCGATTCAGAAGGGACGTACCGCCGCTGCTGTCCCTCTGCAACAGCACTCTTCCAGATCACATCTACACATGGTGGCAGGTATTCACTTCACAATCCTCTTAAGTTATTTATTATTGTGAAATAATAAGTGGACTTTCATTCAGGGTTAGGCCCTGTCCACATGAACACAACTATTTTCAAAACTGCACTTTTATCCATGCAGTTTCACTGTTTGTCCACAAGAAAACGAGTGTCAAGTGACTGAAACCAAACCTAATTTTCCAAAAATTACATCGACTCGTGACATAAGCGTGTACGATGTTTTCTCTTTTCTGATAGGCCAACTTGGCTGGGTTCTGCACAAACGCATCGCGTATTACATACCATCTGCTCCACAGCACAGTAACTAGGGTCGGGTGATGTTGAGCAATCCGCTTGTTAAGTGTGACGTCTCGCGAAGCGGCTTCCGGGTCCAAGCGCTCTATATACATATGGGGAGACTCATGAAATGGTAATAATAAACGTTTACAAAGCGATTTAATACTTTCGAAAATCACGATGGCAATACATATATGTCCATGCCTAATATCCGATGGCCAGAAAGTCATTCAGTTTTTTATAAATTGTTAAAATTTTGGTATTTGTGATGCAGCAAGCCCAGAGATTGTTGTATACACTATGACTTAATATAAAATTAACTTTTAATGTGTGATATGAATAAACAAATAATTTCTCAACTCAAATAAGTGGCGACTTTGACCCGGAAACTGTATTACATACGTCACCAACACGTCACCATTTAACAAGCGGATTTGGCATTGTATGATGTCATATGTCATGTGGTATGGACGATAGCATTGTCGTCATAGGTAGTGGTGTATTAATTAGTTATTAATAATTAATTAATTCTAACAAATTAATTATTTGTAGCCTACTGTTTCAACTACCTGACCCACGTGGTCTTTGTTTTTCCCATAACCAAATCATACATCAATAAAGATAAGTTGCACACAGATTACCAACTGTCAATAATTTTTCTGAGGGACTCCGCAGAGTGATCTGTGTCATCATAATGGTGTCAACAAACTTAGTTGGTAAAAAAGATATCTGAGGTTTTCGCTAAAATAACTAAGTACAAGTGTGAAAGCGAAAGATTAAAGCAGTGTACTGACACTGTGACATGTTACCTGATAGATTCAAAAGACTGAAAAGTCGTTAGAGGACAAGATTAATCAAATATCACGTTTAACAACTACAGTGAGACGCAATCTAGCGGTACATCCTTGATAAACTGTGCGACGTGCACTGCTCTCTGGGGTTTTGTGCTCAAAGCTCCCACTGACATAAACTTTTGCCCCATAGCATATTTAAGATGCAGCTTCAAAATGAAGCATACTAACGTGAAATACAATTTCTGCTTAATATAAGTGTTCAGTTCAATGCAACAACTAAAACTAACAGTCACATTTCTGTGTGACTCATTTGAAAGGAAGTAAATTCATTTTTCTGATGTTTAGTCAAATGTTCTGTGTGGTGTGGCCACTTCTATTCATATTCACATTTTCGACTTAAATGGAAGTGAATTCTTTAAATTCCTCACTGTGAAAGGAGAACAATGAGGAAATCAGGTGTCTAAAAAAAATCTGAAACTTACATATTGTGTGTACACATGGTTTTGTGAGGGTTGGGTTTGGGTATGGGGTAGGGCAATAGAAAATACAGGTTATTTGACAATGGGATGACATTGGAAACCTATGGAATGTTCCCATAATTCACAAAAACAAACGTTAGTGTGTGTAATACATATATATAATACATATACATATATATATATATATATATATATATATATATATATATATATATATATATATATATATGTGTATATATGTATGTGTATATATGTATGTGTATATATATATATATATATACCATCGCCTTCTCGAGGAAAACATTAGT